CTAATGCTAATCGCCTTCACCCGCAGTAAAGAAAACGAAAAATAAAAAAAGTTGAAACATCCTGCTGCCACAAATGCCAACAGTACGGCAAGCTAGCGAACAGGTGCAAATGCAACGCGTTGCGACGCTATGTTATGCAAGCTGTAAGGAGTCCATTGTCTGCACAAGACACTTGCAAACAGTGCAAGGAACGACAAGCGATGGCGAGTTAATAAGTGGAAGTTAGTAATTGTCTAGAATTGTCGTTGTGGGGACAAGTTAGAGTGCAGGCGCGCAGCCGCGCCACTCGACTCGACTCATGACATTCGCTTAGCATTTTTATTGCGCCGCTCATTTGTGTACGCTGTGTCATTCGTAGAAATAGAGTTGTAGTTGGACGCCTAAACGTAAGTGCCGGCATAGAAATACACCTCTCGCCCTAGCGCTTTACTGCCATGCATTGCTATGTCTTCTCTGCTTGTGTGTCTTATGTGCGCAGAGTCCTTTGCTGTCGCTGCCGCCGCTTAGATACCGCTGCTGATCATTTAGTGCCGATAATGCGCGCACTCTGGCACTCTCGCTCTTTGGCTTCTATCACCTTTTGCCACTCACATTCACAGGCGCGCACGCACACTGTGCTGTACGCTGGCGGCGGCGCGCCTTCGTCAGTCATCCGATTCAAATAATTTTCGTGTTTTATGTGTAATATATACGTATTTGAATATTAACAATATAATATGCATGTTTATGAGCGCATAGCAAGCCGCGGACGCATGGCAAACGCAGCATAGCGCAACGGTTAGAACGTCATTAAATTGCGTACCCACACCTCTAAGCAGCAAAAACAAAAAAAAAAAATATATTATAGAAATTAGACAAGTAAGGCTGAAAACACACAAACCCAGCCCCGATTATCAGTCGGGTCGGACTACGTACTACGGCGGCGCGGCAGGCAGGCTGTCTGTTAGTCGCTTAGTTTCCTGTTCGTTTGCCAACAATTTATGTCAAATAATTTTTTCATGTTCGACTATTTAACTGCGCCCATTTGCGGCACTCGACGGTTGTGAGCGAAAAAAATAACAAATACAACACAAAACGTTTACTTCGTCTTGATTCAGCTCTTGTACGCACATATTAATATGTTTGGCTCTTTGCTGGCGAAGCAGATGTGAATTTGTTTCATAATTATGCAGTTTACAAGCGATTGGCCATTAGGTCTGAAAATTGCTGTCAAAAATGCTTGTTTAACAGACGTTTTTCTTTTTTATCGAACTATGTAAATTTTAGTTGTTACACGGAAGCATTTAACGAACTCGAAATACCTATATATGAGTGGGAAAGATGCGAGTAGAAGGACGTATAGCTAACATATGGATATATTTGTATGTATGATATTTCTACTTGAGACTCTAGTTCCTGAACTAGTTTCGTTGTAATGCAATATGGATTATTTGTAGAAGTCGTTTCCTTATAAAAAAATTTGGTTTCAACATTGCAGCGTCCTAGGAAGTATCAAGTTTACTTTTCTACTGTTCGGAATTAGCTTAAAATACAGACTAGCAATCTTTGCAAGTAGGTTTGAAAAGCAATACTATTTTTAAAGAAACTCTGTGGTCTTACCTTGTGAATATTTTGTCTGATCTTCTTTATTCTGATAAAAATTAAATTATACTTATACAAATTAAAAAAAAAAGCAAAGAAAAGACACACCAAATACCTAAACCAGGTTTTTATTTATAGCCAACTACACAGTAAAGTTTTTAAACGCTTAATCCGTTCATAAACAAGCAACATTAAACTCGAGTTAAAGTCATTTAAACATTTTCTCTAAGTGCATGCGAGTGTATAGTTGGTGGCATCGTCTCAACAGTATCTACTTATCTCTGAAACTTGAAAGTTTCTGTTGCTGAAAACTCAGTAAGACTCCAGCTAATTTTCGATTTAGTCATTATATTCCAAGGTAACCCAATTAATATCATTGTTAGAGTTGAGCGACAGAGATAGTACTAAATAATTCGTTTGCGTTTTTTTTATTTGTGCAAATTAGGATAAATTTGCGCTTAAAATATTATTTTGAGAACAGTGAGTTAAATTCCTATCCACTGATTTGGATTTGGAAAATTAACTTCTATGGCTTCCGATAGGTTTTGACTTTCTAACCAAACTCATCTCAACTCTAAAATTTTTGTACTCAAAATATATACCGGAATTGTATTAGCTGACTTCACAAGCGATAAATATATTAAATTCTGAATTATTTGCTAAAGACCGTACATTTCTAAAAGGTTAAATGTAGAGATTAAGAAAAAATTATTGTATTAGTTTTTCATTTGCAGGAGAATGGAATATCAATATTTTTGAATCAAAAGAGATCTATATTATAACGGGAACGTTGGAAATTGAATGAAATTTTATATTCTTTGCCTAATTTTGCCAAATCACTGCAATAAACCGCATCTAAACAACAAAAATTCATGCCGCAGGCTTAAATTTTTAATGCTAAACGATCGTGTTAAATGAGACGTTTGATTCCGCTTAATTTTTGCAGCTGCCAGACTGGTTTGTTTTGGCACTCGCGAGAATGATTGTCAAAATGGAACAAAAGGGTCATTGAATTTGATGTTTGTTTGTGGTCATAATTTATACATATGTGTGTGTTTGTGTATGTGTGTTATGCTTGATTATTTACAGCTTTTCGTAGAATTCCGACATTTTAGACGAAGAATGTTGACAAATGTTTAACAAATTTGGGCAACAACTTGCAACAACAAAACGCTAAGGATATACCTACAAACATGCCTACGTATACATATATATATATTTATATGCGTATTTGTGTAGAAAATCATATGTATTTGTATGTATACAAAGAATTTCATATTCCATGCTTAATATTTGTGCTATATTAATTTTTTACTTATAGTTATATTATTATTATATTATTTTTTTGTAATTTATTATTTTAATTTTCTTTTTAAATTTAGTAACTTTTTAAAAATATTTTTTAATTTTTTTTTATATTTCTTTAATTTTTTTATTAACTTTTTTAAATTTTTCTTTAATTTTTTATTAAATTTAAAAATTTTTTTTAATTCATTCATTTAATTTTATTTTATATAAATTTTACATTTTTTATCAAATGTCTATTTATTTTCTTTAAGTTTTTAATAATTTTTTTTAGTTTTCTTTAATTTTTTTAAATTTTTTTATGCATTTTTTTGTTTGTATTAATTTTAACTTTCTTTAAATTATTTTTAATATAATATAATTTGTTATAATTTTTATTTTATTTTTAATTTTTTTTTGTATAAATTCTATTATTTTTTATCAAATTTCTTTTTAATTTTTTATTAATTTTATTTTAAATTTGAAAAATTTTCATTTTATTTATTTATTTAGTTTTTTTTCTATAAATTTTAGTTTTTTATTAAATATTTTTTTAATTTTCTTTAATTCTTCTATTAGTTTTTCTAATAATGTTTTAACTTTTTTTAATAAATTTTTATAAAATTTTTTAAATTTTTATAATAATAATTTTTTTTAATTTGTTTTTTCTATAATTTTTTTTTTTTTTATTAAATATTTTTTTAATTTTCTTTAATTCCTTTATTAGTTTTTTTCATTATCTTAAACTTTCTTTAAATTATTTTTTATATAATTTTTTAAATTTTTATAATATTTATTTTTTTAAATTTGTTTTTTGTATAAATTTTATTTTTTGTTATGAAATTTCTTTTTAATTTTCTTAAATTTTTTTAACAATTTTTTTTTATTTTCTTTAATTTTTAAAAATTTGTTTATTTTTTCTTTTTCGTATTAATTTAAACTTTCTTTAAATTGGTTTTAATATCATTTTTTTAATTTTTCATAATTTTTATTTTATTTTATATTTGAAATTGTCTTTGAAATTGTTTTTACTTATTTTTGTTTTCTTTTTCTTTGATTTTTGTGTTTTTTGTGTAACAACTAACGAATTCGTGAAGAATTTTAAAATTCGTGTCGTGCGCCCAAAGCTACAGACAAATAAAAAATATTTATGTATTGTAAATATGTACATATTATAAACATATGTACATACGTATGTACAGGCAAGCAAACAAATCATTGCTTTGAAATTTCATTTGTACAATAAAGACATTGAAAAAAACTACTTATATACATATGTATATATATATATATGTATAACTATGTATATGTATGTATATGTTTATAGATATTTATGCAAATGCCATACCAATATAAAAGCTCATCAATTTTGCATAAAGACGAGCACGTGTTAATCTGCGCCTCCTAGCGGAACGTGAAATGCCACTAAATAACTGCAAAAGGTGAACTAACGTCAATTTTTTTATGTACGTCAATAAAATATAATTTCGTGGCCAGTTGGCAACTGTTGGAATGCGCTAAAATTTATGCAACCAAACACTGACATACACATACAAACATGCATTCAACTTTTGCGAAATTTGATGACAGTTTTGGTCTTCGCTGTGTCTGCCGTTCGCTTCACTTATGTTATGCGCTGTTATGCCACTGCCAATATTGGTATTTATTTATAACTGTAAATTGCATAAATATTTTAACATATTTGCATAGAAATTTATTTATTTGTTTTTGTCGTTGTTGTTTTAATACCAAGCACGGCCAATTTAGCCGGATGATTGAATGCTTCTACGAAAACACCGTATAATTTCTGCTGTCTTGCTGCAAATCTATTAAATTTACTCACGGAAAATCTTACAAAATATACTTTATGTATGCACATACATATACACACATACATATATATACCTACAAAAAAAACACACATACACATACACAAGTATATATTTTTTAAGCATATCTGCCAGTGATCCGGCCATTTGCATGCCTCTCCTTGTCCGCTTGGGACACTTTTGTTCAATTTCTCTGACATTTACGAGTCATAAATTACTTTAATTGCTTGTACACGCTAATGAACACATTATGTTTAATACTATGTACTCAAAATCTATTTATATTTTTTTTGTCTTTTATTGCAGTCTTCAAAAACGAAACACTCATTTGTCCGCCGTACAATAGGTGATAAAGTTAAAGGAGGTAAGTGCCTAATTACTATTTGGGATAACGGGTCATTTGCTGTTGCTTTAGTTTTGGCTACGGGAAAATTGATTTCCTTTGAAGAAATTTGACTTAATACCTTTTTAATGATAGGGTATTAAATTGTATGAATTTCTTAAATTTTTTGTCGTAAATAAATTTTTTGGAAGAAAGTTGCTTTTATTAGCGTTAGAATGTCAAAACAGTTTATTATTTATGTTTAGATTTTAGATACGCTGCTATAAATGATAGGTGTTTTAGGCGCCTTTATGAGTTGAGATACATTTTTAGTGCTTTGATGTGCCGGTAGTAAGCTTTTCTTTCTTAATTTTCCAACATATAAAAAGTTTTCGGAAGATTTAGAAGAATAGCGGTAGTAAATACAGACACAAATTATATAAAAATAATTAAAAACTATCTTTAGTGCCATTCGGATATATTTGGGTATTATCCGCTAACACGGATAAAAACCGGATAATATGGAAAGTCGTTATAATTCGATATATCCATATCAGAGTCTGTATAAATTAGTTTTTCTGGTAATATTTGTTTATCCAGTTATCGCAAAATAAGAAAATGAATTGGATAAATTGAATACTGACCAAAATGAGAAAAGAACATCAGAAAATTATAAAACTTACTATCCGGATAAAACTTTATTACCAATATAAATTAACTAAAAAGAAATATTAGAAATTAATAAAATATTTTATTCAGTTAAACGAATTTTAAGCAGATAACAAAACATATTTATATTTTTCATTAGCATTTTCGAATAGAAAGAGAAAAATTGTTTAAACCATATAATTCAAAAATCGCAATAAAATTGCTTACATTGTTAATATTCGAAATATTCAAAAATATATGCGAGACCAAAGTATTGTTCACAAATTAATTTGCTATCTCAAAATGCTTCAAATTAATAAAATTTCTTTTAAATAGTCTTAAAAATCATTTTCGATCCCAATTTACCACTAAAAAAATTTAACAAACACAAGTTTTTGGTTCTACCATGACCTAATTCAAGATGTATTCATGTCTGATTGTTGCCGCAATATTATACATTAACATTGCTATCGTCTAGTGTTGTCATTATGTCATTGTTAGAGTATCATAAAGCTCTAATAAATCGAGCGGATCTGGTATTACTATATCAACTAAAGAAAGACGGACAGAACTAACGCGCCTCAAAACTGCTTGAATGAAATTCTTACCCTCTTCGACAGGCATGTAAGGTATGCCATGGTAATGCTCATGGTAATGGCTGTTGTGTAAATTTTCGTAAAATAAGTTTTCGAAATATTGTGCTGGTCGAAGTTTGCAGGAATAAATCGTAAGGATGTGGTAAATTGTAAAAATATATTTTGGGACCTGATTGCTAAAAATATAGTCCGGTAGTAAGAAAGCTTTGATATCTACAACATTAAGCAGTTAATCTAAAATACTATTAGAAAAAAGCTTCTAAATCGCAAATGAAATCTCACTTATGAATTTTTTATTTTTATTTCAAAGTAGCAACTTACATAGTGAAAATTTTATTTGATAAAAAGAAGAAATTGCTTTTCCTTATATATACAACATTTCGAGTAAACGATCGTCAATGATCAAGAGCAATTCTCACGAATGGATATAGATTACAGCTCAAAAATAAATCAGAACAAATTTCGGTAGTTTTTGAACAGTATATTTAGTGGACGATATACTCCAAACAAATTTTGCTTTAAATCAGGTGGTTAGCTGAAACAACTTGCCAATCTTCTCTACTTAGTTGGTAGAATTAAAAAGTCGTTAACCAAAAAACGAAATAAATAAGCGAACAAGCTTTTAAGCGCCAAAAATATTCAGCAATATCCAAATTTTCATAAACTACTGGAAATGCATAATTTTAAGCAACGAAAACGCGAACACACCAATACATGCATTTTGGATTTACGCTCTTTCTCAACAAACGAAATAATTAAAATTCAAAATTCGCCGTTATTCAAAGTTCCAGTTTCTTTGACATCACATGCTTGTTATGTATTTATCAAACTACTTTTTTGGCAATAATAATTAAAATTCTGTGTGTCGAAGACATTTAAAAGGTGCTGAGATTCGTATCAACAGTAGAATGGGCATACAAACATATAAAGTTATATACAAGTATGTATGTATGTATATGGTGTGGATATATTGTTGTAGATAAAACCGGCGAATTAAAATTGAACAAAGAAAGCTAATTAAAATGATTTATAAGCACTTAATTTATCGAACGCACAGACTTGACAATAAAAAGCAACAACAACAAAGACAGCTTGTACCGATAGATATTAGCATGGCAGCAAAGATATTTTGACAATTTGTTAGATATGCAGCTTTTTCCTCACCTACGTCAGTATGTGTTTAAATATATACATGCATATGTATTGTATATATGTAGGTAGTCGGACAAACCTATTTTGGATGTTAGCTGAAGATTTATAGACATCACAAGTAATAAAATGTCATTGAAATTTAAAGGAAGAAACCTGTTTAAAAAGCCAAATATAGACATAGGTAGTATCCGAGGTGATTAAAATTGAAATGAGTTTTTTAAATTACTTCAAAAATGGAGAGTTACTAATACGGCAATATATTTAGGGTTGTCGGTATTTTTTTTAATTCTAATAAACTTGAAGCTGGGAAGTTTTACGAGAAAACAGCAACGATTTTTTTCGGAGAATACATTTTATTCGAGTGTTTATAAATAAATTTTAGTAAAAAAAAAAAAAGTTACATAAACATAATTATAAACTATTTTAAAGTCCATTTAGACAAATTTGCTGGTTTATCCGTTCTCACGGATAAAGTTCGGATAATACGGCTAGTTGTTATAATTCGATATATCGTTACCAGAAACTATATAAATTAGTTTTCCGGGTAATATACGATCATTCGGATAGCGCAAAATAATAAAATGAACTTTTCGGATAAACGAAAATTAACAAAATTAAAAAAAATATATCAGAATAATATAAAATTAATTATCTATTTAAACGTACATTAGCAAAATGCCCGAATATCCGAATATTAACAATTTATCGAAAATTGTAAAATAAATTATCCGGATAAACAAATAAAAACAAAATATTAGAAGTTAATGAAATAATTTATTCAATTATATGAATATTAAGCGAAAATCCATATGATATTTCTATTTTTCATTTAGAATTTCGAATATTGGATTATTTTTCTTATCCGTAAGAGTCTTTAACAGCAATGAAACTCTCAACTTAAGCCGAAATATTGAAAAATAATTTAAAAAATATATAATAATAATAAATTCGAAAACGAAGGATTGAGCCGAAATTTTTTGTTAGAATCGTTATGAAATGCTTGGCTTGATGAATTTTTAATCTTAATTATTTAAAAGCAGTTTTTCGATCACAAATTACTACTGAAAAATACTTTATAAAACTCAAGTTTTCAGCAAAAAATTGTTGTTCTCTTATCTCTAAAAGAATTATTTAAAAGTCTGGTACTATTCTCTTGTTGATGAGCGTATTGATCTCTATAGCTAATATCGTGCTTTTTGATTAATCTGCATTACCGTTAGCTCTTTTCACATGTTCTTAATACAATGCGATAATTTTTTATTTTTTTTTTTGAAAGTTAGTAGCACGTTTTTGAAAGACATAAATCTTGTCACAGCTTAAGACAGTTGAACAGCCAGCGTTAATGGTTATATAAATGAACCATAATGCTGTTACCAACGGCACTTTGTTGAGAATTGATAAATATGAAAAAATTTTGTTATTTTTTTTGTGTCTGAAAAAAATTGAATAACAAATTTAGCAATGAATAAAGTTGTATTGTTCACAAAATAAAAAGTAAATAAAATTATATGAATAAATAAAAAATATCGGTACTATAATATTATATAATATTGTATTATATAATTTTTTTTTAGAAAAAATGAGTAAGGATATATTAAAAACATTTATCTAAATTAAAAGTTTACGTAAAACGTTAGAAAAAAATCTCAACTAATCGCGTAGTGCATTAATTAAAAAATATTTTGAAAGAACGGATAATTAATAAAGACAGTTAACAAGGTGTTAAAATTGTGGAATAAAACGGTAAAAATTCGCAAAATTGTCTGAGGCTGTCGTAAGTGTGGAATTTAATGAAAAAAACAAGTTACAGATCTGGCAGCCTTTTTCTCAAAAATTGTCAAAAAAAGAACACTTACATTTTTAATATTGCGAATATAAAATGTTTTAAAAATTTTTAAAGGTTTTGAGCAGAGTTGCCACCAGTTCTTATATTTTTTATAAAACTGGTAGCAACTCGCGTCGAAATTTGGCTTTAACTATCAGCTCTTTAAGACTTCCTTAGAAGCATTACTGGTCTATCATTTTATGCCTTGAAAATGATTTAAAAGAAAAAATTGTAATGAAAATTAATATTTTTGTTTAGCACTATTTATAATTAAAGATCTGCCAATACTACTCTAAAAAAATTGTCAATATTATGAATTCTTAATTTTTTAATTTAATACTGCGTTGAAATTCCTCGAAATGTCTAAAATATCTTAGAAGTGTTGCCAACTATTCTCAATATTAAACGATTATTGTGTTTAGAAAAAATACTAAAAAAGTATTGAAAATTAGTTTGTAAATTTTATATAATTACTTGTATTATATATTGTAAGCAACCTTTAATTGACTTCAAGGTCTAGAAGTATTGTTTCAGTATCTCATTTCAGCGTTATACTACCGTTTACGGTAAACACCAGTAGCGTCAATAGAAATCTCCACTTCAATTCAGCACACACACACACACACACATATACATTCATATTTGCATATGTCAAAGTGGTCATGCCACGAGTTGGCCCCGACTACCAACGTCATTACTCATTTAAACGCTTAGCTGCGCACGAGCTTATACTCACATACATGTGTTTGTATGTGTGTGGGCAAATATGGCATCACGTACCATTTTACGCAGCAAACAGTAGCCAGTGCAAATATTTGAGC